AAGGCTAGTGCTCTACCACTTGAGCCACAGCACCACTTCCGGCTTTTTTCTTATGTGGTGCTGAGGAATCGAACCCAGGGCCTCGAGCATGCAAGGCAAGTGCTCTACCACTGAGCCACCTTCCCAGCCCCCCAATAATTTCTTAAACAAGAAAGCTTCTTAGCAATTGTGTAGCATTCAATATCTACAAAGTATTTCAGTGATTCATTTGATCAGCAAGTCTATCTTACAAATTGAAGTGTTAAAGAATTAGGTGAATTTCTTAGGATCACAGGAAAAGTTGGATTAAGTGGCCTATGCACATATAATAATCATTTATTCACACATTCAATAAACGTGACTACTTAGTATGTCGATTACAAAAGACAACAGTCTTCACTAGAAATAAGCTCACAGTCAGCAGGAAAGCTGTCAAATAAGCAAGTGACTGTCCCACACTTCTTCCACAGAAGTAAGGCATAGGTGCTCTGGGATAATCTGAAAATTTCACAGAGGAATAGCAACCAGGACCAAGTCTTGAAGGATAAATAAGAAGTGACCACTAGAAAGAGGAAAAGAAGAACAGTGGGTTCCACATAATTAAGAGCAAGGATGCTTTTCTTAGCATGCATTTAGCATGGGCTACAAGTAAGAGTGTCCATCTAAAGACAGAGATGAAGTTCTAGCAAATGCAAAGGGTCCTATAATGAAAGGTAGTACCTAAGGAGTGCAGATGCAGTTTTTACCAACGAAAGTCTGTGGTGAGTTTTGGAAAATCAAAGGAAGAAGGCCCAAGAAAATCTATTGGGAAACTTCTGCAACAGCCAAAAATGAATTTAAAGTCAGGCAGGAAAACAAGCCAGGTGGGCAGAACTACTTATCTCTTCTTCATGGTGGCTTCTATCAAGCAACACCCTGATCAAGTAGGAAATGTTATCTATAATAATCAGACAGAATGCTCTGATGATGTCATCTATGAACTTAAGGGTTGCTTGCTCGGAAGTCAAAAGATTCTGATAATTATGTCAAATTCCAAAATCCTCAAAAGGTTATGTTAAAATGCCAGAGAGACTTGATAATATTAATAGTTGGAATAAACTTCAGTAATAAGAATAAATGTTTTTATAATCCAATCCAAGTATTTTAAAATTCTTACATTTCAAATTTTCTAGTTGTAGTAATTTTATGTCTGAAGCAGAAGTAGAGAATAAGCACAGGATATATGAAAGAGGGAAATGGAATTTAATGCATTGTTAGTGCTTATACCTCAGTAGACACATGAACCTCTTGATGCCTGGAATCAAGTTCCTCAGAGCTTTTCACATTGATGAAAGCAGGTAAGCATAACAAAAGCTAATTGAAAAGTCGCTGTAGGTAGTTGATGCAGTGTTACTTACCTTGAGACATACGGAAAACAAGAATCTCAAGGCAAGAACCAGAACTCAGCAGAATACATAACAGTATACACAATAATATAATGGTTATCTTTGCCTTTCACCAAAATACAGCAATACAAAACTTTACCTCATGCCAGTCTTCGAGTTTGTTATCAGAAAGATCTAGTTCCGACACATGAGCACAGAAGGCAGCAATTTCTCTCTCATCTCCTGCACAGGTAATTCCACAGCTGTTCAACACTAGTACACTTGGGAGGTTGAGGCGATCTGGATCAGAGAACATAAAACACTTTTTACATCAGCTTAACTCTTGTTTACATACATTTATCCACCAGGAATCAAGAAACAACAAAATAAATAAAAAATCAAATAAATAAAAAATTACTCAATGGCCTAATAAAAACAGGATATAATGGGATCCAGTGGACCTGAAACCTAAGGGTGCAAGCTAACTATTGGCTCAGGAGAAGTTCAGAAATACTGAATTACTACCACCAAAAAGTTCTCAAGGCTTTAATTTCTGGCAGGTTTCTTTATCTCAACCACCTACAGAGTCATCAACCATCAGAACACTGGATCCATGCAAGTTACATCTGGATTACTACCACCTGCTTACTGACCCCAATTCTTTACTTTAGCTCAAGTATTATGCATAGCTCTTTAATCTGTTTGATGTATATCTTTTGCTCCCTTTGAGAATTAACTCAAACAACTAGATAATCTACTTGTCAAACTAGTTCTGTTCAAGTTTGTATCATTAAAAACATTTTTGTCACCTAGTGGAGCTACTAACAATTTCACATTTTTTTCCTTTATATTCATCTATTCATGCCATATTTGTCCCTTCTGAAAATTGGCCTTTACAGATGACATTAAGCTAAAGGAAAGAAATGTACATACCTGAGGTATGTAATGGTAACCCTGCTGTATATCACCTCTAAATCAATAATAAAGTAATTAAAAATACAAAAAGGAATAAAAACAAGACAAAGAAAATTAGCCTTTTTTCCCCAAAATATAATTAGAATACAAGAAAGGGTTTCAGAATCTGAAATATTTAATGGTTTTGGTCAAATTAAGGTAACAACTACCTGATAAATAACTGATTCTAAAATATATGTCAAAATCTGGGGCTGGAAAGTTGGCTCAGTGGTAGAGTGCTTGCCTCACATGCATGAGGCCCTAGGTTCAATTCCTCGGCACCACATAAGCAGAAAAAAGCCAGAAGTGGCACTGTGGCTCAAGTGGTAGGCCGCTAGCCTTGAGCTGAAGAGCTGAGGGACAGTGCCCAGGCCCAGAGTTCAGCCCCCATGACTGACCAAAATATATATAGAGATAGATAGATAGATATGTCAAAATCATTCTTAGTATATCTACTAAAAAAAAATCAACATGAGAAATCAACTACTCTTTTCTCAGTATAGAGCAAGGACTAATAAAGGTCATATTTTATTAACAGAGGTCTCAAGTTACATGGTTTTGCAATTTAGTACTCTTCAATATCGTTTTTTAGAAAGAGAATAGATTCTAGAAGAATTTTTTTTTTTTTTACCAAGTAAGAAGTCCACTTCTGTGCCATTCCAGGCTACAAGGAATGTAAAATAGTTGTACTAAGAGATGACATTCAGAAACTTCCAAATATAGGAACTAAATAATGACTCATTATTAATTTCCCTTAATTATAAAGTACTGCTCCAAGATCTGTTAAGCACAATGTTAAGGTAAAGGACAAGCATAACAACACTATGCACACTTCTAGAACTCTGCTTACATGTAATCCCTCTAAAATACATCTTCTCTCTAAATTCTACTATCTTCAAGGACTAGTTCAAGTTTCATAATTTTGAGGCTTCTCTGATCATATTTACTATTTTCTAAGTTTCCAATCACTGTGCCATTCACTTAGCTCAACATCTTTGTAAAGGTGAAATGTCTTGAATCCAACTCAAAGTCCTTCCGAGGTCTTTGAGAGCAAAGGAAGCTTTGTACTATTTATTTTGATGCTGAGTTCTTTAAAAGAAAATACACTTGAAAAAGTGTCTCTCAGGTATTATTCTTGTCCCCACCTTTTTGTGTGCAGGTACTAAGGCTTGAACTCAGGGTGTGATGCTCTTGCTTAGCTTCCCCCCTCCCCCTAAGGCTGGTACTGTACCACTTGAACCATAGCTCTACTTCCAGATTTTTGCTGGTTAGTTGGAGACTGCCTGGACAATCTAGAGGAAAGGTGTCCCATGAGATTCTTTAAGAACAATTGGAATCATAACAAGCGCTAAAGATTATTTGAGTCATAACTTGAAGGCCACCAAGGCAATGCTGTGATCCAACTTGCTAAGCAAGCTACAGTAATACATGGTTCAAGGCTTATCTCTCTTACCTTTCATAGGAGAGCCCTGAGGTGTGGCTGGGACATGGATCCCCATCCCAGGCCCACGACGGTAAGGGAAGTTTTCAGGACTATATTTTTCACATAATACTTGCATAAAACTTCTTCCACTAGGTTGGTCCATCTTTTTTTCCTAAAATTCCATAAGAAATCATCAAAATTATTTCTTACTCATAAAAGAAATACTTACAGAAAACCAATTACCAATCAGGCACTAGTCCAGGCATTGCAGACACAATGAGGAGAATTTACCACTTAGGGCAGCCACATGCACAGACACGTGACAGCAATGACAGCTCAGCATGTGGTATCTGCAAGCAATCAAAGCACTTAGAAATAGAGCCTGTCACTTCCAGCCAAGGATAACAAGGCTTTCCACTGGCTCATAGGGTTCACGTGGCAAGTAACTGGAAAAAGGACTAAAAAAGAACTGATAGATTAAATACCAGGCTAAAGGGCTTGGGTGTCTCTTAAAACTCATTCTGCCTCCACAATAACAGAACCCTTAACTGTATATTCTGTGGCAGCTTCCAGGAATCATCTTGTAAAGAGCCAATGTTTTATATCTGGCCTCCTTTGTGTTTGTGTCCTTTTGCTGCATAGGAAATAGGTGGTGTGCTGGAGCACAGGCACAGGAAGGCACCCTAGTGAGAGGGCAGTGAAGAGCTCAGGGGGTCTGGACCCATTAGGACATCATGGGCAAACTGCCAACAGATTTGGCAATTTCACTGGCAAGTCAGTAGCCTATTCCATTCAAGCCATTGTTCTTTTCAACTGGACCCAATCCTAACCTAATACAGCATGCTATTTCATTTGTTTCTGAGTTTGATTTGACTCAAGTCTATTCAACCTCAGCCAAGAGTCAATGCATTATGTAACTCCAGCATTTTCTTGGTATTAATTCACATATTAAAACAGGTAATATTAAACAAGTTAACAACTGTCAGCCTAATAACCCACTATCTCAAGGGCTGGCCTATGCTCTGCATAAAATATCAAACAAGGACTGGGAAGGTGGCTCAATGGTAGAACGCTTGCCTTGCATGCTCGAGGCCCTGGGTTCGATTCTTCAGCACCACATAAGCAAAAACAGAAAAAAGCTGGAAGTGGCACTCTGGCTTAAGTGGTAGAGCACTAGCCTTGAGCTGAAGAGCTGAGGGACAGCGCCCAGGCCCAGAGTTCAGGCCCCATGAGTGGACCCCCCCCCCAAAAAAAAAGTTAGCTTAAAACCCTATCTGTAAAACAAAACTAAAAGCAAAGTGACTGGGGAGATAGCTGAAGTGGTAGAGAGCTTGCAACAAGCCTGGGGCACTGAGTTAATCCCCAGTACAATGAGAGTAACACTGAAGGCAGGAGGAAGAGACAGGGAGATACTGCAACAATAGTCATGAGAGCCTGAAATGACACAATGGGCAAAAAAAGTCAGCAAGATCAGTTTCTAAAGCAAGCTTTATAGACACCATACTTCTGAGGGAGAAAGTGAAGTCAAGGCTGGCCCTCAGGTTTCTAGTACAGGTAACCACCGACTAATCAAGAAAATCGGATCATAACCAGTTTTTGAAAGGGAAAATGAGGAGCTCTGCTTTATCCATATCTAATTTGGGGCCTTGTGGAAATAGTCTAAAGTTGGGTGAGAAAGGTTAGCCAGAGATGAAGACCTGGGCCCGCACTGGAATACAGGAGGAGTTACGACAGCAGAACGATGGGGACCAGAGACACTCAAGGCACAGGCGGAGGCACAGTCAAGAAAAGAGTAGAATCTACCATGATATTCTGAGAATTTAAGAGAGGAAAAGGGGTGGGCACCCAGTGCTTATGCCTGAAATCCTAGCTATTCGGGAGACTAAGATATGAGAATCGAAGTTGAAAGCCAGCCTGGGCAGGAAAATCTCTAAGACTCTTATCTCCAATAAAGTACCAAAAAAGCTGAAAGTGGAGTCCTAGCTCAAGTGGTAGAGCATTAGCCTTGAGCCAAATAAGCTCTAGGAGTAGATCTAGGCCCTGGGTTCAAGCCCCAAGATGGGAGGCGGGAGGGAGAAAGAGAGACAGAGAGAGAGAAACAGAGAGAGACAGAGAGAGAGAGAGAGACAGAGAGAGAGACAGAGGAGAGAGAGAGAGAGAGAAAGGGAGAGAATAAACTGGGCAAAACCAAGAGTAGGGGTCCAGAGGCAATTGCTAACATTTCTTCTATTAAAACAGTAGAGGCCTGGAAGTATGGCTCAAATGGTAGAGAGCCCTTTGTAGGCAAAAGAAAAGCCAGGTGAGAGCAAAAAGGCCCTGAGCCTTACAAGAAGAAAAAATAGAGCCCTGAATGTGGCTAGGGGTTTATAAGAAGCCAGGAGAGCGGGCAAGGCAGAGAAGGACTGCTGGTATGTATTCCTGGAAGAGAGCAGCAGGAACGAGCATTGAAGAGAATATTAAACAGCTTTCTTCTCATACAGCTGTTTGGTATCAACCAGATAATGAATGCTTCAAATTGCTTACCATTACTGGTGACATACTCCACTAGAGTGGCACTAGTCTACCCGTACTTACACAGTTTAATTATGCCAAATACCAGGTATGTTGTTCCTGTGATTATCCTAGCTGTCATTAAATTTTAAAGGGAGCAGAATTGTGCGATTCCATTTATCTCCGTTTCACTTCACAGTATCAAGCACAGGATACCCTTATGTGGCAAGGGTTCAGTAAATGTTACAGAGTACTGAAACCACCAGGATGTTGGGTAGAATGCAGAGAATTCAGGATGAAGAGTTCAAAATTTAAGTTCCATTCACTTTTCACCAATAATAAGCAAGTAAATCACTATATTTTTCTAGGACTCAAACACCTACATCTCCAAAGTTATTGATATCTGGAGTACTTAAATTACAAGTTGCTATAGTGTCCCAAAAGACACAAACACACCATCTGGATTACAGGGTTATCATAAAGCTCTAAAATATCCAAATGCTATTAGTTACAAAAGGAAGTTGCAGATAGGCACATGGACATAGCATATTTCTGCCCTCTCACTAGCTAGCTACATATAAGCTAATCATCTAACTTCTTTATTCCAGCTTTTTCACTGACGAAGTCTAAAATATCCATTTTGGTTTTGATATAAGAATAAAAAAAAAAAGGCCAGGCACTGTGGCTTATGCCTACAATCCTAGCAATGTGGTTTAAAGCAGCCAGGACAAAAGTTAGGGAGACATCTCAAAAACTAATTGGGTATGGTGGTTCACACCTGTAATCTCAGCAAGGTGGAAAGTAGCATACTGTGTTCTGTGGTCAGCACTAAGCAAAAGGTAGAAGACTGGACCTGAAAAATAAAGTAAAGCAAAAAAAGGCCAGAGGCATGGCTCAAGTGGTGAATGTGTACCTAGCAAGTACAAGGACCTGAGTTCAAACTTCAGCATTACCAAAATGTAAACAAAAACAAAACAGAATTTGGGGGGAAAAACATGCCTGAATATAAAAGCAGTCATTAAACTTGGCCCATGGCCTCAATTACCACTAGGACCATGTAAATTAGGCTTTGAGAAATCCATTCACTAATGCCTAGACCGCAGCAGACACTCGCATATCCACTCATCACCTTGAGGACGCAAGGCTGTGCTCTGCTTAAGACCTTCCTTCCTGAGCCTCGGGGCAGGCAGCACTGTTCTACTGCCATGCGGACCCTTCTTCCCACCAGCACAGATGTCTCTGCACAGGGCTACCCTCTGTGGCAACCCTGTCTCAATGTTTGATTGGGCAGGCACATGTACATCTTCATGCTTCAAGAACTTTCAGGTTGAAAGGGTTTTTAAACGTAAACTTATCACCAACAGCACACAACACAAAGCAGGTGCTCCGCCACTAGCAACAGGCACCAGAGCTCCTATCAAAAGCCTGTCTCAAATAGAATGCCAACAGACTCCTCAAAACGCTTAACAAAAACATCAAAGAAGTTACTCTGCTATCTACCATTGTCAGTTCAAAGAATAAAAAAGTGAACTCTCACTACGGAAGTAATGGTCACCAGGTTTCAACAGGATCTTTTACCTAGAGCTCCAGAACCACTCAAACCTGTATAAATCATGGGCAATCATCTCAGATGCAAATAAGATACAAACTAAGAGAATGCAAAACTACACACAATCAAAATAAGTCCAAGTAAGCAAGCAAGGAAACCTGCAATCTTTCATGTCCCAAGCTAAAAAAAAACCACCTCCAAATACTGTCAGTTTAAATATATATACACATATGTATAGATTATACATATATATTAAAGATACAAACATACTATTTTCTAAGACTATAAAGGGACACAAGGTGCCTTCAATAGTGATTTTACAGGATGCTCTACTAAACTGGCTTCCTAGGGACGCAGATGAACCACATGGGAATACATGAGCTTTGAATTAGAACACTACGACTGCAAAATGGATTGGTAACATGAATCTACTCAAAATCTGTTGGGACAGTATGAGGAGGAACAGTAGGTGGGAAAAGAGGGCTGAAAACCAAGAAGACTGAAAAAAATGAGGAAATGCAGAATGGAAAAAGATCTTTAACTGGAGCCTTTTGAAAGGGTTTTGGGGGTTGGTGGGTAATCTATGACTTTCTGGAAATAGCTAGTGTCAAATTACATCAGTCTACCTCTATAGTTGGCAGTTCTAATGCATTTGTAAAAGTGTTTTGAATTGATGGCTAGAGCCAGGGAGCCAAGAATCTTGAGTGATGTTGCTTGGTTCCATTACCAAGTAGAGGGGCATGCCTGTGAAAATCTCAAATCCTTTGTGCCTCAGGACCCAGAGTATAATATCCCCTTGGAAAGCACTTGCAAAAAGTCAGAAAAAAGCACAAGTTGGAGGATAAAGTGCTCACAGCACTTTTGCCAGGTGGATTATTATCGGAACCGGACGCCCAGTCACCTAAGTACCCTCAATCACTACCAAACAATCTGTACTTTATGTTCCCATAAAAGAATCAGATCAAAATTGGTATGGAATGAGTTCCACGCTAATGGAATGAGTTCCAACTAAAAACAAAACAGACCAAATCTAACCACTAACACTGGAAGATACACAAGATATAATCTTACGCTGGTATGCAACATCAATATTTATTTCACCAAGAAACAATGTACAGTAGTATACTTCATAAAGTATAAGTACTATA